TCCTGGATTCCCTGTGTTTCCAGCTCTTATCTGTACCCGTGTACATGCTCTGGTCTAGCCGGATTTATAAGGGAGAATTGGGATCATGATAGTGGGGGGTGGGGGTGGGGGAAGGATTAGAGAACTAGAGGAATGTTGTATGTGTCATCTGTGCTAATACTGCACCCTGACTGGCTCATCTCCTCCCCTGCAAACCCTTCTGTAAGGGGATGTCCAGTTGCTTACATATGGGCTTTGGGTCTCCACTCTGTACTCCTCCCTCAGGATTTTATCATTGGAAGAGATCTTGGTTATGTAAGTAAAAACCATTTACTTCAGTCTCCTAACATGCAAAATATCTAAGCATTCTGTGTCAAGGCTTCTTCCTTAAATGAAACATTACTTCACTGTTGTTAGTTAGTCATCCTGGGGTTGATTGTCAACTCATAGAGACTGCGTGTTAGAGTAGAACTGTCCCACAGGGTGTCCAAAAGCCATCATCTTTATAGAAGCAGATCACCAGGTCACTGGCTGGGTTTGCACTGCCAACTGTCCTTGGTCCAGCTCTTAACCAGTTTGCCACAAGGGCTTCTTTTACTTCCCTATATGTTTGTTTATTTATTGACAAGTTAATTCTGACTCACAGCAACCCAATAGGATAGAGTAGAACTGCCCCGTGGGGTTTCTGAGCCTCTAAATCTTTACAGAAGTGGAAAGCCTCTTCCTTCCCTCGCTTGGAGCAGCTGGTTGGTTTGAACTGCTGACCTTGCGGTTAGCAGTTCAACATGAAGCCCACAATGCCACTGTATGGTCAGCGGTTTGAACCCAGCAGTCACTCCAAGAGAAAAAGAAAAGGCTTTCTACTCCTATAAAGATTTATAGCTTCAGAAACCCAGACGGGGCAGTTCTACTCTGTCTTCAGAGTTGCTGTGAGTTGGAATCTACTCTGGCAGACAGTTGTTTTGATATAATAACCACTGAACTAAATGCTTTCCATACATTACCTGTGTGCTGTCAGGTAAGCACTGGACTGCTAACCTCAAAATCGGTGGTCCAAAACCACCAGATGCTCCTCAGGAGAATGATAAGGCTATCTACTCTAGATACATCTATAGCCTTGGAAACCCTGAGTTGGGTTGCTATGAACTGCATATAACTAGATGCAATGGTTTGAGGTTTAGGAGGCAGGTATATTATCTTCCTCTTTTTGGGTGAGCACCTATGTCTAAAGAAGTAAACCAGCTTACTAAGGGCCATAGCTAGTGAAGTGATAGCATGAGCTTTGATGCCAGGCAGTCTGATACCAGTGTGTCAGTTATCCTTGATTCATAACACATATAAAGCCCTTCGTACTTAAGAACACAGCCACCCTGCCTCCTCATGGAGGAGTATTGAAACAAACTTACAAGACAATCCCTGGCTTAAAACTCTTCTGTTAACAAAGTGGGCTGTAACTGGGTAATCAAACAGTTTAACATCTAAATCAGATACACTGGCAAAATAGGAAGGGATGCTAGCAATAATTATGTCAACACAGTAATCACAAACTGGGAAGTGTGGTCCCTCTAACCACAGATCAAACTCCATTTCAGCAGTCACACATGGAACAGTTCTCATATTGCCCAACCCATACGGGGACCCCAACAGTCCACAGCTCTTGACTGCTTATCATGTGCCAGGCACTGCTCCATGTGCCTGCAACGCCGCAATCCTCTCCACTTTAGAGGTGACGCTGAGGCACACTGTTACAACTAGTCCAAGATCACACAGCCAGTACTCAATCAGGGAAGCCAGACGTAAAGTCTAGAACAGTAGTTCTCAACCGGTGGGTTGTGGCCCCTTTGAGGGTCGAACAACCCTTTTCACAGGGGCTGCCTAAAACCATCGGTAAACATATTCCCGATGGTCTTAGGAACCGAGACACCGCTCCTCTATCCGTCTCTAGGCAGGTCTGGCCAGATGCAGACTCGTATGCCCACGTACGAGTACCCAGGATGATGAAGACTGTTACCCATGCCATGCCATGCTTCAAGACAAAATTTCATTTATTTGTAATTAGAAATAAATACCTCATAATATATAATTACATATTGTTTTTGAGATTAATCATTATGCTTTCATGATGTTCAATTTGTAACAATGAAAACACACCCTGCATATACATTATGATTCATAACAGTAGCAAAATTACACTTATGAAGTAGCAACAAAAATAACTGTATGGTTGGGGGTCACCACAACATGAGGAACTGTATTAAAGGGTCAGGACATTAGGAAGGTTGAGAACCACTGTTCTAGAGTATTTAATGACCCAAAGACTTTTCTATTCAGCTTATCTTGTCTTGTCCCTGACCCAAAGGACACTGGGTTTGCCTCTAGGCATAATTGTCAAATAGGCCCAAATTTCTAGCACCGAATCTTTCCTTTGGGGGCTTCCCTATTTACCCCATTGATTGATCTCACTTGTGGCTTGGCTTCTGCTCTCCTGCGTAAGAGAAAAGGGACAGCCATGTGTGCTTGTCAACCTATAGTATGCATGGATATTACAGACGTGATGCCCCTCACTGACCCATGGCCCTGCAGGGGACAACACCAGTGACACAGTGTGGGAACTGCACCTGATCTGACCCCGCCACAGAGGCAAAGCACTGGGGAAGTGCAGCGGAACAGCAGGGGAGGGGAGTAGCAAGATCCCCAGGGAATGATGAGGGTGGACATTGGAGTCAGGGCATGGTGCCTCAACAGGCTAGACTGGAAAACACAAGCTTTTCTTTCTTGGTATATTTTAATTTGTTCTTTGTCAGTGGATTGATGTTGTTGCTGTTTTG